CTCAGGCTCACGACGCTCCGTAAGACCTCTAGTCGGCCCAGCGTAAGGAGAAGGACAAGGCGGCGGAGAGGCAAGCGGTAACTGTGACTGCGACTGGACAGGTGGTGGACTCAGTGGGGGAGGAGAAGGACCAGTGGAGGGCGGGAGGCCAAGAACCTGCTGAAGGAGCGGAACGTAGTACGGCCGCGGCCGCTCAGCACCTCCTGAACCAGCAGAGACAGCACCAGCACCCTCAGCCCCAGGGTCTCCAGCTACAACTCCCGCAGCACCACCAGTAACCCCAGCAGCTCCTGTACCTCCAGCTCCAACCCCCGCAGCAGCTCCAGTCCCAGCAGCTCCAGTACCTCCAGTACGAGCACCTCCAGAACCAGCGGCTCCAGGAGCTCCAGCACCAGCAGGACCTCCAGTAGCTCCAGCACCAGCAGTACCTCCAACAGCACCTGCACCAGCAGCACCTCCAGCAGCTCCAGCACCAGTAGCACCTCCAGTAGCACCAGCAGCACCTACAGTACCAGCAGCGCCTCCAGCAGCTCCAGCACCAGCAGCACCTCCAGCAGCACCACCAGCGCCTCCAGCACCAGCAGCACCTCCAGCAGCTCCAGCACCAGCAGCACCTCCAGCAGCACCACCAGCTCCAGGGTCCAAAGCACCAGTAGCGCCACTTCGGAGACTGCAGCGCCGAGCGTACCACTCTCGGAGCCGCTGGGGAGAGGGCGGCTCCCACCTAGGCGGGGAACCACGAGCACCAGCTCCAGCAGCACCCCTAGCCCCAGAAGCGCCCCTCCTGAGGCTGCAGTACCGCGAGTACCACTCCCGCAGCTGCTGTGGAGAGGGAGCGCCTCCAAGCGCAGCACGGTCAGTCGCAGCACCCCCAGGCTCAGTACCCTCAGACGTAGCACTCTCAGGCTCAGCACCCCCAGACTCAGCACCCTCAGGCTCAGCACCCCCAGACTCCGTACCCCCAGGCTCCGTACCCGCAGGCTCAGCACCCCCAGGTTCCGCACACTCAGGCTCAGCACCCCTAGCAGAACGAGAGTCGACAGCTACCTCGACAGGCTCAACCGGGTCTACCTGGGACACACCTGAGGGAGCGGCACCCTGAGGGGGGAGGGGGTCTACCACAGCAGCACCTGGTGCGAGGAAGAGAGGCGGGGGGGGGAGCGGGGGCAGTGCGGTAGGGGAAGAGGCGGTAGTAGGGGACCGACTCGTCGAAAGTGACGTCCTGAGAGGGCAGGACACGGCGCGAGGTGGCGTGGTAAAACTGCCAACCAGACGCGTCCGGGACAAAGCCAAGGAAGACACAAGGAACAGCGCGGGAGGAGAGCTTGTCAGCGGACGTATCGCGGACAAAAGCACGAGATCCCCAGACCCGGAAACGCGACGCATCGCCAACCTCTCCCGTCCAACGCAGTGTCGGTGAAGTCTCCGGAACGGAGACACGGGGCCAGAGGTTGAGCTGATGCGCAGCGTATCGGACCGCAAACGGCCACAGAAAGTGGGGGGCAGCCGCATGGATCAAGGAGGTACGAGCGACCTCCATGACCAAGCCAATGCGGCGCTCAGTAACCCCATTCTACTGTGGAGAGGCCGGAAGCGTGAACGACTGCTCAATGCCCGCCCCCTGACAGAAGGCCCTCAAGAGGTCGGAGGAAAACTCCCCACCTCTGTCAGAGTGCAGACGCAGGACAGGAAAGTCCGAGTGGAACCTCTCGCTGAGCTGGAGACGGGCTGCGCGGATCCAAGGGATCAAAACATCAGGGACTTCACCCTTGGTGCGCAAGGGGAAGACCGTGGTGTAGCGCGAGTAGTCGTCAACAACTATCAAGAAGTACCTCTCGTGACCCTGTCCACGGACGCGGGCTGGGCCCCACACGTCCATGTGGAGCGTCTGCAGGGGAGCAGTCGTCGGGGGAAACGAGGAGGAGTGAGGAGCGGCGCGCTGCCGCCCCTCGACACAGGGAAGACAAGGAGGAGCAGGCGAGGGTGGGAGGGGAGGGAGAACCCTGGGAAGACCAGAGACAAGGTACCGGGAGTGCATGCCACGAAGGCGCTGCACTGACGGGTGACCAAGGCGGTGGTGCCAGAGGACGGTCTCGTGCGACAGGGAGCGACACGAGCAGGGGGCCGACAGCTGACCTGACGCAGACGCAGACGCAGCTACCTGAGGGGACTCAGTGGTCAGTGTGTACAGGTCCGACCCCGGCTGCCGAGTGAAGGTAGCCAGGTGGCGACCCGTCCGAGCACACGTGCAGTGGGTCACGCGCTCGTAGGCAGGGGTGAACTGATGAACACCCCCGTCCTGGAGAGCAGAGCCCGCCACCAAGTTCGTAGAGAACGAGGGGAGGTAGAGACCTGACAGGGTGCCGGACGGGACCGCAGGTCAAGGGAGGACAGTGGAGGAGGTCGCAAGGACCGGGCCCCCGGAGGGGTCAGCCAGGGAGACAGCAACAGGCCGAGCTAGCTGCTCAAGGACAGTGCGGTCACGAAAGAAGCAGCGGGAAGCACCCGAGTCCAGTGTGAAGGTGTGCAGTGCCTCAATAGACTCGGTACCAGCAGACGCAGACGCACGAGCACCTGGAGCAGCAGACTCACTAGCACCTAGAGCAGCAGCCTCACCAGCACCTGGGGCAGTAGACACACTAGCACCTAGAGCGGCAGCCTCACCAGTACCTAGAGCAGCAGACTGGATACCGGGGTCAGGCGGCACACAGGTGACAGGCACCCTCAGCACTAGTAGACAATGCATACATGGCAGTGAGGATAGCATCATAGTCAGGAGCAAAGATATCTACCCTCTGCCTAAGCAGCTCCAGCCAGGAGGGGAGCTCAGCGTCGTCGCCAAACTCTGTACGCCAAGCGTCGCTCAGACGGGCGAAGCAGCGGGACTCTGTGTGACCAGGTGTCCCGCAAGGCTGACCAGCCCGGACACCTGCGCGAATGACGTACGGGTAGCGAGCAGTACTCAGTGACCCTCTACTCTGAGCGTACCACTCACGAAGCTGCTGGGGCGAAAGAGCCTCGCGGGGACGACGCTGCGGCTGCACCTGGCCACTACCAGAAGCTCCCGAACTACCCACTCCAGAGCAACTCCCACTACGGCCACCCCGACAGCCCCAACTAGCGTACCACTCACGAAGCTGCTGGGGCGAAAGAGCCTCGCGGGGACGACGCTGCAACTGCACCTGTCCACTACCAGAGGCTCCCGAACTACCCACTCCAGAGCAACTCCCACTACGGGCACCCCGACAGCCCCAACTAGCGTACCACTCACGAAGCTGCTGGGGCGTGAGGAACTCACGCGCACGGCCCTGGAGCTGCATCTGGCCACGCCAGGAGAAGCAGTAGCAGCAGTAGTGGCAGTAACAGCAGTAGCAGCAGGAGCAGTAGCAGTAGGAGCAGTAAAAGCAGTAGCAGCAGTAGCAGCGGTAGCAGCGCGGGCAGGGTAGTGCTCACCAGTGGTGGGAAGGGCAGGCGCAAGACGGCGGCGACAGCGGGGCCGCTACGGCTGCAGGGCGGGGCCGGGCCGCGGCAGGGAGCTCCGCGGCAGCTGCTGCAGGGCGGGGCCACGACTGCGGCTAAAGGCTCCGCGGCAGTTGCTGCAGGGCGGGGCCGGGCCGCGACGGCAGCTGCTCCAGGGGCCAGGGGCGGCTGCTGCAGGGGCGGCTGCTCCAGGGGCCAGGGGCGGCTCCTGCAGTGGCGGCTGCTCCAGGTGGCCAGGGGCGGCTGCTGCAGGGGCGGCTGCTCCAGGGTCCAGGGGTGGCTGTAGGTGCGGCTGCTCCAGGGGCCAGGGGCGGCTTCTGCAGGGGCGGCTGCTCCAGGGGCCAGGGGCGGCCGTCCCAAGGGCGGGCGCGGGGTAGGGCAGGGCGCCGCGTCGGACAGGGGCGACTCCGCGCGGGTCCCAGTGGCGACGCGCGGGTCGCGCGCGGGCGTCGCGACGAGGCAGGGGCGACGCGCGGGTCCCGCAGAAGCGCCTCGACGAGGCGGGGGCGACGCGCGGGTCCCGCAGGGGCGTCGCGACGAGGCAGGGGCGACGCGCGGGTCCCGCAGGGGCGTCGCGACGAGGCAGGGGCGACGCGCGGGTCCCGCAAAGGCGTCGCGACGAGGAGGGCGACGCGTCGCGGGGTCCAGGGGCCGCGCCGCGGGGTCCAGGGGCGGCTGCGCGGGTGCTGTCAAACATTATACATGTTTATATTGTGTAGGCTATAGTGGGTTTAGCCTTAGGGGGTACAACATTGCTAGGGTTTCCTACTTGTATCACCCTGCTGCCTAGTTCATTCATTCTCGTTCAGTTCTATATTCTAACATGGTATCAGAGGCCGACGTTGGTTAGGGCCCACCGTTCCGTCGCGCCCTTGCGCCCCTTCTAGCGCCGTCGAGCGCCCCTCCTAGCGCGCCGTCGAGCGCCCCTCCTCTCGCGCCGTCGAGCGCCCTACCTAGCGCGCCGTCGAGCGCCAATCCTAGAGCGCCGTCGAGCGCCACTCCTAGCGCGCCGTCGAGCGCCACTCCGTGCGCGCAGCCGTTTGCCCGTCGCAGCCACACGATAGGCCGCCCGCGCAGCCGCACGTTAGGCCGCACGCGCAGCCGCACGTTAGGCCACACGAGCAGCCGCACGCACAGCCGCACGCGCAACCGCACGCACGGCCGCGCGGCCGCACGGCCGCCCGCACGACCGCCCGTACGACCGCACGCACGGCCGCACGGCCGCACGCACGCACGTCAGCACGTACGGCTGCACGCACGCATGGCCGCACGCAAGGCCGCACGGCCGCACGCACGCACGCACGCACGCACGCACGACCGCGAGCACGCACGCACGGCCGCCCGCGCGACCGCACACCGCCGCGCCGCCCTGCCCGAGCCGAGCCGCGCCGCCCTGCCCGAGCCGAGCCGCGCCGCGCCGCGCCGCCCTGCCCGAGCCGCCCCGCGCCGCCCTACCCGAGCCGCGCTGTGCTACTGCTGCTGCTACTCCTACTACTGTTCGTACTGCTCCTACTGAAACTATGGCTAGTCCTGCAGTGCTAGCTTTCGATGCTGAGGGCCGCCCGCTGCGTTTTGACACCTGGCTCGAGGACCTCCATCTGTTCCTCCAGCTCACTGCTAAGGAGGATATTTCGCTGTATGACCATGCGTTAGGCCTCGCTCCTGCCCCTGCTGCGACTGCTGACAGTACTGCCCGCTCACAGTGGCAGACTCGTGACGCCCACTCTCGCTTCGCCATTCGCAACTCCCTGCCGGTAGATGAACGCGAGCACTTTAGCCAGCAGAAGACTGCTCAGTCACTTTACACTGCTGTAGTTGCGCGCTACTCCTCGCCTGCCTCTGCTTCGCTAGGCCGCCTCTCACTGCCCTATCTGTTCCCAGACCTGTCCGCCTTCTCTACCGTCGCTGACCTCATTACTCACCTTCGCACTAGTGAGATCCGCTTCCGTGCTGCCATGCCCGCTGAGTTTCTTGCCAAGAACCCCCCCCCGCTGTGGCTCACTCTTTACCACCTGGTCACCCGTCTCCCTGACTCCCTTCGTGCGGTCAGGGACACCTTCCTTGCTCTCTGCCCCACCGAGCTCACCATTGACCTGCTTGAGAAGCACCTGCTGGCAGCTGAGACTAGCCTAGTCGCTGTCGGTGCGTCTCGCGGCGACCCCCGCACCCCTTTCTTCGAGGGGTGTTCCCCCTCCCCTCTTCTCCCCTATGTCGCCTCTGCTGCTGCTGTCGACCTTCTTGGTGCTGAGAAGGTCGGGACTGCGTCCACTGCGAGTGCGGGGCGCCGCAGCGGCAAGGGCAAAGGGGGCAAGGGGGGCGGCGGTGATGATGGGGGAGGCGGTGGTGGGGGCGGTGGCGGCGGTGGGGGTGGTGGCGGGGCTGGAGGGGCCAGTGGCAGCGGCGGGGGTGGTGGCGGCAGCGGCGGGGGTGAAAGCGGCAGTGGTGGAGGAGGTGGCCGGGGTTGGGGCGGTGGTGGTAGCGGCAGTGGACGCGGTGGCGGTGGTGGCGGTGGTGGTCGTGGTGGCGGCGGCGGCGGTGGAGCTCGTGGAGGCTCTGGCGGTGGCCAGCGCCAGCAGCATACCCTGTCGCCCCAGGAGCTTCGTGAGTGGTACTCTCAGCGTGGGGGGGGTGGCCTTAGCTGCCCGTACGTCATCCGCACAGGTGACCGCACTGGTCAGACGTGTGGGAGGGTGCACACCCAGCAGCGCTGCTTCTCCCGCCTCGACGACGCCTGGCGCACTCAGTTTCCTGCTGCTACTGAGCTGCCCCGCTGGTTTGATCTGATCAAGAAGAACATTGATGTCTATGCTCTTGACTTTGATGCTATCCTTGGTGCCATGTATGTGTTGTCTGCTAGTGGAGAGGGTGACTGTTACCTGCGTGTCCCGCCCGACCCGGGCATTAGGACCAGTGAGGCTGCCGCACTAGGTGCTAGTGTGTCTGCTGCCCCAGGTGCTGGTGAGCTTTCCGCTCTAGGTGCTAGTGTGTCTGTTGCCCCAGGTGCTGGTGAGGCTGCTGCTCTAGGTGCTCGTGAGTCTGCGCCCGCTGGTACTGTGTCTACTGAGGCACTGCACACCTTCACACTGGACTCAGGTGCTTCTCGCTGTTTCTTTCGTGACCGCACTGCCCTTGAGTAGCTTGCTCGACCAGTGGCAGTCTCCCTCGCTGACCCCTCTGGGGGTCCGGTCATTGCGACCTCCTCCACTGTCCTCCCTTGTCCTGCGGTTCAGTCGGGCACACTGTCAGGTCTCTACCTCCCCTCGTTCTCTACGAACTTGGTGGCGGGTCGTGCGCTCCAGGACGGGGGTGTCCACCAGTTCACCCCTGCCTACGAGCGCGTGACACACTGCACATGTGCTCGGACGGGTCGCCACCTGGCTACCTTCACTCGGCAGCCGGGGTCGGACCTGTACACACTAACCACTGAGTCCCCTCAGGTAGCTGCCTCTGCGTCTGCGTCAGGTCAGCTGTCGGCCCCCTGCTCGTGTCGCTCCCTGGCGCACGAGACCGTCCTTTGGCACCACCGCCTTGGTCACCCGTCAGTGCAGCGCCTTCGTGGCATGCACTCCCGGTACCTTGTCTCTGGTCTTCCCAGGGTTCTCCCTCCCCTCCCACCCTCGCCTGCTCCTCCCTGTCTTCCTTGTGTTGAGGGGCGGCAGCGCGCCGCTCCTCACTCCTCCTCGTTTCCCCCGACGACTGCTCCCCTGCAGACGCTCCACATGGACGTGTGGGGCCCAGCCCGCGTCCGTGGACAGGGTCACGAGAGGTACTTCTTGATAGTTGTTGACGACTACTCGCGCTACACCACGGTCTTCCCCTTGCGCACCAAGGGTGAAGTCCCTGATGTTTTGATCCCTTGGATCCGCGCAGCCCGTCTCCAGCTCAGCGAGAGGTTCCACTCGGACTTTCCTGTCCTGCGTCTGCACTCTGACAGAGGTGGGGAGTTTTCCTCCGACCTCTTGAGGGCCTTCTGTCAGGGGGCGGGCATTGAGCAGTCGTTCACGCTTCCGGCCTCTCCACAGCAGAATGGGGTTGCTGAGCGCCGCATTGGCTTGGTCATGGAGGTCGCTCGTACCTCCTTGATCCATGCGGCTGCCCCCCACTTTCTGTGGCCGTTTGCGGTCCGAGACGCTGCGCATCAGCTCAACCTCTGGCCCCGTGTCTCCGTTCCGGAGACTTCGCCGACACTGCGTTGGACGGGAGAGGTTGGCGATGCGTCGGTGTTCCGGGTCTGGGGATCTCGTGCTTTTGTCCGCGATACGTCCGCGGACAAGCTCTCCTCCCGCGCTGTTCCTTGTGTCTTCCTTGGCTTTGTCCCGGACGCGTCTGGTTGGCAGTTTTACCACGCCACCTCGCGCCGTGTCCTGCCCTCTCAGGACGTCACTTGCGACGAGTCGGTCCCCTACTACCGCCTCTTCCCCTACCGCACTGCCCCGCTCCCCCCCCCGCCTCTCTTCCTCGCACCAGGTGCTGCTGTGGTAGACCCCCTCCCCCCTCAGGGTGCCGCTCCCTCAGGTGTGTCCCAGGTAGACCCGGTTGAGCCTGTCGAGGTAGCTGTCGACTCTCGTCCTGCTGGGGGTGCGGAGCCTGGGGGTGCTGAGCCTGAGCGTGCGGAGCCTGGGGGTGCTGAGCCTGAGCGTGCGGAGCCTGGGGGTGCTGAGTCTGGGGGTGCTGAGTCTGGGGGTGCTGAGCCTGCGGGTGCTGAGTCTGGGGGTGCTGAGCCTGAGAGTGCTACGTCTGAGGGTACTGAGCCTGGGGGTGCTGCGACTGACCGTGCTGCGCCTGGAGGCGCTCCCTCTTCCCAGCAGCTGCGTGAGTGGTACTCGCGGTACTGCAGCCTCAGGAGGGGCGCTTCTGGGGCTAGGGGTGCTGCTGGAGCTGGTGCTCGTGGTTCCCCGCCTAGGCGGGAGCCGCCCTCTCCCCAGCGGCTCCGAGAGTGGTACGCTCGGCGCTGCAGTCTCCGGAATGGCGCTGCTGGTGCTTTGGACCCTAGAGCTGGAGCTGCTGCTGGTGCCGCGGACCCTGGAGTTGGAGCTGCTGCTGGTGCTGAGGACCCTGGAGCTGGAGCCGCTGCTGGTGCCGCGGACCCTGGAGCTGGAGCTGCGGCTGGTGCCGCGGACCCTGGAGCTGGAGCTGGTGCTGGTGCTGCTGGCGCAGGAGCTGCTGGTGGTGCTGCTGGAGATGCTGCTGGTGCTGGAGCTGCTGGAGACGCTGCTGGTGCTGGAGGTGCTGCTGGTGCTGGAGGTGCTGCTGCTGCTGCTGGAGGTGCTGCTGGTGCTGGAGCTACTGGAGGTACTGCTGGTGCTGGAGCTGCTGGAGCCGCTGGTTCTGGAGGTGCTCGTACTGGAGGTACTGGAGCTGCTGCGGGGGTTGGAGCTGGAGGTACTGGAGCTGCTGGGGTTGCTGGTGGTGCTGCGGGAGTTGTAGCTAGAGACCCTGGGGCTGAGGGTGCTGGTGCTGTCTCTGCTGGTTCAGGAGGTGCCGAGCGGCCGCGGCCGTACTACGTTCCGCTCCTTCAGCAGGTTCTTGGCCTCCCTCCCTCCACTGGTCCTTCTCCTCCCCTACTGAGTCCACCACCTGTCCAGTCGCAGTCACAGTTACCGCTTGCCTCTCCGCTGCCTGGTCCTTCTCCCTACGCTGGGCCGACTAGAGGTCTTACGGAGCGTCGTGAGCCTGAGTCTCGTCCTGCATCGCCTGAGTCTCGTCCTGAGTCGCCTGAGTCTCGTCCAGAGTCGTCTGTCCGCGCTGTCCGCGCTGGTCGTCGTGCTCCGCGTCAGCGTCCTCCTCCTGTACTTGGCACTCACTATATGACTCTGCGTCCTTCCACTGCTCCACAGCGTGTCCCTCTGCCGTCTCCTCCTGCGTCCTCTCTTCCTGACGGTCCGGACCCGGAGTCTGACTCTCTTCGTGCTGCCAGTCCTACTGTCACGCGTCTTCTTGCTACTGTTGTCACTGACCCTTCCTTTGAGTCCACTGCTGCGTCTGCTCTAGTTGCTGACCTTGTTGACTTTGCTGCCGCCTGTCGTCTAGACTACGCCGCTAGCCTTGTTGGTGAGTTTGGGTCTGTTTGTCCTCCGTCCGTCGGGGGTGAGTGTGCTGTTGGCACGGACGTCCTTGAGGACAGACAGGAGGAGTTTGAGTGCTTTGCCGCTGCTTTACCTCATCTCGTATCCTTGCTGATTGCACCTGAGGGAGACCCGGATGCACCAGACATCACGACCCCGCGCTCTTACGCAGAGGCGATAGAGGGTCCCTACTCCTCTCAGTGGCAGACAGCCATGGACGCAGAGATGGCTTCCTGGAAGTCCACAGGCACCTACGTCGACGAGGTTCCCCCACCTGGGGCGAACATCGTCAGTGGCATGTGGATTTTTAGGGTGAAGCGGCCGCCGGGTTCTCCGCCTGTCTTCAAGGCGCGTTACGTTGCACGAGGCTTCAGTCAGCGAGAGGGAGTTGACTTCTTCCAGATCTTCTCCCCGACCCCGAAGATGACCACTCTTCGGGTTCTGCTGCACGTCGCCGCTCAGCGTGACTACGAGCTCCACTCTCTTGACTTCAGCACAGCTTTCCTACAGGGCAGCCTGCACGAGGAGATCTGGCTGCGCCGCCCACCTGGCTTCACTGGGTCGTTCCCTGCTGGTACCCAGTGGAGCCTCCAGGGGCCAGTCTACGGTCTCCGCCAGGCACCCCGTGAGTGGCACGACACACTGAGGACTACTCTTGCTGCTCTTGGGTTTGCTCCTTCTACTGCTGACCCGTCGCTGTTTCTACGCACCGACACCACTCTGCCGCCGTTCTACGTTCTCGTGTACGTAGACGACCTGGTCTTTGCTACTGCTGACACTGAGGCACTCGCCCACGTGAAGTCGGAGCTGCAGAAGAGACACACGTGCACAGACCTGGGTGAGCTGACAAGCTATCTTGGCTTGCGGATCACCCGGGACAGAGCACAGCGCACCATCACCTTGACTCAGTCACACATGGTGCAGCAGGTCCTTCAGCGCTTCCGCTTCACGTACTCCTCGCCTCAGCCCACTCCTCTGCCTACCGGTCACTCGCTCTCAGCTCTGCCTTCGGATGAGTCCGTAGAGCCGAGTGGCCCGTATCCAGAGCTTGTGGGCTGCCTCATGTACCTGATGACCTGCACTCGACCTGACCTTGCATACCCTCTTAGCATCCTAGCACGCTATGTCGCTCCTGGCCGTCACCGGAAGGAGCACATGGATGCCGCTAAGAGGGTGTTGCGCTACTTGTGCAGTACGTCGGGCATGGGGCTTGTGCTTGGAGGACGGAGAGACGTTGTCCTCACTGGGCACTCAGACGCTTCTTGGGTTGACGACCAGGCTACACAGCAGTCGTCTCAGGGTTACACCTTCAGCCTTGGCTCTGGTTCAGTTTCTTGGCATTCTACACGCTCGTCTTCAGTTCTCAGCTCCAGTTGTGAGGCTGAGATCTACGCCACAGCCATGGCTGCACAGGAGTTACGCTGGCTCACCTACCTGCTGACCGACCTGGGAGAGCGGCCTCGTTCTCCTCCAGTGCTGTACGTCAACAACAAGGCCGCCATTGCCTTGTGTCAGGAGCACAGACTGGAGCACAGAACGAAGCACATCGCTCTGCGCTTCGTCTTGCTTACGTGGCCACTCGGGCCAAAACTGCTGATGTGTTCACCAAGGCGCTTCAGCCTTGTGATCATCAGCGTTTCTGTACTGTTCTCGGCCTTGTGCCTACTGTGCCTCACTTGCTTACTTCTTGACTCTGTTTGTACTATGATCTCTATATATATATACCTGCATGCTTACACTTGCTAGGTTGTGATCACTGTACCTCTTGTTATATTATCAAACTGCATGTGAACTGGTCTTGTGACCGCTTGCTTGTGCTCGGAATTTGTGTGGTTTCCTTGAGATCCACCCTGAACTCGCTTTGCTTTGCTTTGACTGGTCTTGTGACCATCTGGTTGTCCCCCACTTCGCCTATGGGGGTGTGTCAAACATTATACATGTTTATATTGTGTAGGCTATAGTGGGTTTAGCCTTAGGGGGTACAACATTGCTAGGGTTTCCTACTTGTATCACCCTGCTGCCTAGTTCATTCATTCTCGTTCAGTTCTACATTCTAACAGGTGCATAGCAGGCCCGCGCGCGGCCTGCAAGGCAGGGCGGCAGGGTGGCGCTCGAGGGCGCGGGTAGGCAGGCGCTCAAGGGCGCGAGTAGGCAGGCGCTCGAGGGCGCGGGTAGGCAGGCGCTCGAGGGCGCGGGTAGGCAGGCGGACGGCACACGGGGCTGCACGGGGCCGCGAGGGGCTGCGTGCGAGGCTAGTGGGCAGCGCACAACTAGCAACAGGGCGCATGACGGCGCTAGAAGGGCGCTCGACGGCGCTAGTAAGGGCGCTCGACGGCGCGGGTAGGGGCGCACGACGGCGCGAGGTACTATCAGACACGGTCGCGCAAGGGCGCGGCGGAACGGTGGGCCTTAACCAACGTCGGTCCTAGGTCCTGACCTAGGCGTCGGATACCATGTTAGAATCTAGAAGTGAACGAGAATGGAGTGAACTAGACAGCAGGGTGATACAAATAGGAAACCCTAGCAATGTTGTACTCTCTAAGGCTAAACCCACTATAGCCTATACAATATAAACATGTATAATGTTTGACATCAAATTATGCAACTTTTCGCTCTATACTTAAGTCGTTGCAGGCCGACAACCATCTAGACCGCCATGGACGACCAAGGAGTCAATGCGGGAGTAGAGGATACTCTGCAGGCTCAGTTAAATGCTGTTCGGGCACGCCACAAGGCTGGCGGGTACGGCGAGGCGTACTTGGAAATTTTGCTCCTTGGAACTCGTGCGAAGTGGGCACGTGAGCATCCCCCTCCCCGTGCTGAAGCGGACGGCGCGTCCGCCTCTCCCCGACCCGTGCACAACGAAGGTGACGGTGGCAACGTTGTCGGCGGTGGAAGCACGAGGGTTCGCGGAGTGATGCGGGCCGCCGACGTCAGCGTTGGCGGAGTGCAGGCGCAAGTGCTACGGTCGACGGCGGCAGCATGCAACTCGAACGTCAACAATGATGGTCGACGTCATTCTCCTCAGCGAAGTGCAGTCAGGTCGATTTCGGCGACTCATGTGTCGGCTGGTCGAGACGGAGGCATCCCGCCGCCTTACGGCTACTTTAAATTCTCGCCAGACAAGATCGCTGTGCCGAAGCTGCTCGAAGGTCGAAATGACTTGATTAAATGGATCCAATCCATCGAGCCTCAGCTGGAGATCGCCGGATTGAAGAAGTTCGTTGACGGAAATGTTCTGGCGTCGGACGAGGAGGATGTCGAGCTCTGGTCGGAATTTCGCGCGGCTCAACTTCTGCCTTTATGGTCATTTCGAGTTGTTGCTCGCCTCTGGTGCAAGTCGCATTGAAGTCGTGCAGAATTCGGGTAGATGCTGGCTACCAAGCGTGGCAGCACATCAAATGCACTTACAAGGTGACTGACGACCTCTACATCGGCCAACTGGAGCAGAGGCTGACGAACATCAAGATGGGCGAGCAGGAGTGGGCGACAAAGTACTGCAATCGTGCTCGGCGAATTTTGGCCGAACAGTGGATGGCTGGTGTCTACTACTCTACAGCGTCCTACATTATGCACATCATCAAGGGTCTGCCGACGGGCTACAATCCGATGCACCGGATGCTGGCGATGCCGAACGCGCGTGAGTCGCTCAACGAGGACAGGTTTCGTGAACCGCACGAAGCACATTGCACTTCGGTATTTTTTCGTCAAGGACGAAATTGACCAAGGAAAAGTTGACCTCGCCTACTGCCCGACTACTGAGATGGCAACAGACTTTCTCACCAAGCGCCTGCCACGTCAGCAGTACAAGCACTGCTCTGACCTCACCGGAGTAGTCAAGCGAGTTAGCTCCTCCCGCGCCCAGGAATGAAGGGGAGTGTTACGATATGAAGTTTTATGAGAAGGCATTCTTGTATGCTGCAGGAGCCAACTCTACCGAGTACGAAGTCGAGGAGTCAGAAAAGTCGAAGCAACGCAGCAACTGTGAGAGTACGACGGCTTATGCCAGCTATGCTTGCTTGCCTTTACTTTATTATGCTATTTCTAGCATAGGATAATTATATGCATGCATGAATTGCTTGATTTCCTAGGCTAGGTGCTTTCCTATCTTTTATTATAGTGATAGCACCGAGCTAGGTTGCGTGCACCGAATTCTGGCTTTTCGGTTGTCACCGAATTGCCTTCTACCGAATTCGAGAAGGCTCTGTTCGGGACGCTTCGCGACCCTCAGAACCTTCGCGTAACACCTGGTTACGGGGCCTTGTGTCGAGCCTATATATAGCCTCGTGTTGTACCCAGGTGATCATTCAATTCAAACTCTCTTTTCTGAGCTCGATCCTAGATCCTCACACTTGGTAATCAGAGCCTGTTTGCACGCGAAGTTTTTCGACCGCTAAAAACTAGCTTTTAAAACTAGCTTTGGAGGTGTTGGAGGTTCTAGTTATGGAGGATCTGGAGTTGAGGTACTGGCGCTAGGGGTGCGGCCACTGAGGGGGTGTTGGTCATGCTGGAGCTAGAGGTGTTCCTGGTGCTTGTCCTGGAGGAGCTAGTTCTGAGGGTGCAGCGCAGCCACAGCCGCGGCGACCGTTGTTCTGGGAGCAGCCGCAGTCAACACTACGTGAGCCAGCGCTTCACTACCTTTTCATACTCTCGCCTGCGTCTGCCGAGCCGGCCGACACTGGTGCTACTCCTCCTCCGCCGCCTGACCTGTCACAGACACTGTTGCCGCCTGACTCCCCTCTACCTGCTTCTTCTCGTTACTCCCCGTTACGTGACTCCCTGACTGAGCGTAGAGAGCATGCGTCTCGTCCTACTTTGCCTGCTGTTAGTGTTCGTCATGTTTGGTGTGCTCGTCGTGCCGCCCTCCTCCTGATCCCAGTACGCTCACTATGGCACTTCGTCCTTCCTTTGTTTGGAAGCATGTTGCCTTGTTGGTACCTCCTACTTCTTCTCTTCCTGATGGTCCTGGCTTTGTGTTTGACCTTGCTCGAGATGCTAGTTCGACGGTCACTCGTTGCCTGACCACACTTGTCGCTGACCCTACCTTGCTTCTGGCTTAGTGTACTCTGTCCATCGGGGGTGAGCTTGTCCTTGGCTGTGACAACCTTGAGCGGGATTGCCTCGCGGCTGCTGTACCTCATCTCGCTGCCATGCTGCTTGCCCATAAGGGAGACCCGGACGCACTGAGCATACCGACTTTGCGCTCTTACGCAGGGGTAATCACAGGTCAGTAGACAACCATGGACGCAAAGATGGCATCTTGGAAGTCTACTGGCACCGACGCAATTTCCCCCTCCTTGTGCGAACATAGTCGATGACATTTGGATTTTCAGGGTGAAGCGGCCGTCGGGTTTCCCGCTGCCTTCAAGGCACGTTACGTTGCGCGATGATTTTGTCAGCGTTAGGGGGGTCGACTTTTTCTTTGACCTTCTCCACGAGTTGCACTTGCTCGACTTCTCGACAGCTTTCTTGGAGGGCAGCATCTACGAGGAGATCTGGCTGTGCCGCCCACCTCGCTTCACTGGGTCGTTTTCTGAGGGTACCCTGTGGAGCCTCCGGTAGCCGGTCTACGGTCTCCGCCACACGCCCCGCGAGTGACACGCCACACTAGAACGACACTTGCGGCTCTTGGCTTCGCTCCTTCGACTGCCGACCCGTCCCTGTTTCTGCACACTGACTCTACTTTGCCGCAGTTCTACATCCTCGTGTACGTCGACGACTTGGTCTTTGTGACTTCTGACAGTTAGGCACTGGCTCTTGTGAAGGCGGAGCTCCAGAAGAGACACACCTGCACTGACTGGGTAAGCTGCAGAGCTATCTTGGCTTGCAGATCACCCGGGACAGAGCAAGGCGCACCATCACTCTAACTCAATCAGACATGGTGCAGCAGGTCCTTTAGCGCTTCCGCTTTCAGTTCTCCTCGCCACAGCCCGCTCCTCTGCCTACAAACCATTCGCTCTCAGCTCCACCTTCGGACGAGTCTGTAGAGCCGAATGGTCCGTATCCAGAGTTTGTGGGTTGCATAATGTACCTGATGACGTGCACTCGGCCTGACCTCGTGTACCCTCTCAGCATCCTGGCGAGCTACGTTGCGCCCGGGAGACACTGCCCTAAGCACTCTCGGGTTGCTACGAGGGTGCTGCGCTACTTGGCCAGTACATCAGGCACGGGCCTTGTGCTTGGGGGATGGGGCTCAATTGTGCTCACAGGGCACTCAGACCCTTCGTGGGTCGACGACCAGGCGACTTCCCAGCCTTCACTGGGCTACACTTCCAGTCTTGAGACTGGCTCTGTCTCGTGGAGGTCAACTCGCTCGTCTTTAGTGCTCTGTTCCACGAGACCGAGATCTATACTGGGGCTATTGCGACACTTGATCATTAACGCTGGGGTAGTACGAGTTTACACACTACTCGAAGTGCCAACATCAAAATTGGCACAACTAATCTGCAAGCTCAATACATTTACATGACAGTAATACCTTCCTTGCCCCTTCCTTCGCCCTTCCCACCTCCACCCCCTTCCCCCCACTTCGTTGCATTGCTTTCTTTAACCGGTACTCAAATTACCGTACCCAATCCAGCGCAATCCAACGAGAGTAGGTTCATTTCCAACCCAGTGACTAACATTCTCTGCAATTTCACCGAATCACTTCCTATCAAGCAGACCGAGCTCCACAATGGACGTAGCCGCCTCAATAAGCGCGACTCTTGACGACTGATAGATGATCCCCATGTCATTCTCCGCCTTGCTGCCGCTGTACCGGTGCACCACCCCCAGGTTGCGCCGCATGAAGTCGATTCCCACAGCGGGGTTCACCATGGCTGCCAGCATGGCCATCCAGTCCGGCATGCCCATTGAGGGTAGGCGGTAGTTGGGGTACTTTGAACGGAGCACGTCTGGAGTGATTGTGGCGGCAGAAGAGGGGGGATGACAAAGGATGGTTTGGCAACCACGTGTGTGCGCCTGCCCCCCACTCAGGCATGCCATGCCATGGCCGGTAGGAGGTGGTTGAGGAAGTTTTGAATCGACTCAAAAGTCAGCACGGTGGTGTTGGGAGAGGCGGGGGGGGGGGGGGGGGGGGGGGAGGGGGGGGGGGAGAGGAGTGGTGGGGGGGAGGTGATACGAGAGGGGCGCAGGGGGGAATGTTGAGAAAGTGGTAGTTGGGGAGTTGGAGCAAAGCATGTCTGGTGGGGAGGGAGGGGTGCTGGAATAAGCACATACTCCTTACATGCATATTGAACCAACCAGCTGTAGAAAAGCGGTTACCTTGTCATTGCACATACCAATCTAGTGCGTATATGCAACGTACCGGCCATCTGTAGCAGCGACATAGTGTCATCATTACACAGGATCTAGCGCCCCTTCATGCCTTCCTTCTCCTGCTCTTCCTCTCATGCCAGTAGCCCCTTCAAGTCCTCCTTTCTCAAGACGTACCAGCCATCTGTAGCAGCGACATGGTGTCCCCATTGCACAGGATGTAGCGCCCCTTCATGCCCTCCTTCTCCAGCGCCAGCACGTGTGCCAGTGCCACGTCAGCCACGTGCACCATGCCAAAGTGCAGGTCCGGCGCCAGGAACAGCGTGCCGTCTAGGAGCTGCTTCACCGACTGTAGTGGGGGGTGAGAGGTAGTGAGGGGTGGTGAGGGGTTGAGGGGGACGGGCGAAGGTTGAGGTGGTTGAGGAGGAAATGAGGCGAAGGTGAACCCGTGAGAGAAAAGGGACGAGTCAAGGGAAAGGGAAATTGTGGGGGGTTGCGAGGATGGGGCGGTGTGGTGGTGGGTGGGGAAGGTGGCGGAAATGGGAATAAAAAGGGCAAGCGAGGTGAGTGCGTGGGCCAGTGTCATTCACTGCCACACTGGATGTCATCCACCCCCACACCCACCTGCAGGCTGCCCTTCACGTGCTCCTCCCTCAACGCCGGCCCCAGCACCAAGCTAGGGCACAAGGTGACCAGATCGAATCTCCACTCCACGCCTTTTAGCTCATCCACCACCCGCCACGCGTACTTCTCAGCCAGGGTCTTCCCCATGCTGTACGGCGCGCGCACCGACAGCTGGCGATTCCAGTCGGCCTCTGTGAAGACGTGGTCTGATGGGAACATGCGGTCTGACACCGCTGCCACTGTCGATGTGAGCACCACCTTCCTGTGAGCGTGAGAGGGGGAAAGTGGCGAGAGGGGAGGAGGGGTAGAGGCGAGAGGGGGAGGAGGTGCAGGGGGGAGGGGGGAAAGAGGTTGGAAAGGGGGGGACGGAATTCTGTCTTCCCCATGCTCTAAGGCGCGCGCACCGACAGCTAGCGGTTCCAATCGGCTTCTGTGAAGACATGGTCTGATGGGAACATGCGGTCTGATACCGCTGCTACTGTCGATGTGAGCACCACCTTCCTGTGAGCATGAGAGGGGCATGGGGGGTTGCGGGGAGGGGGGCGAGGGGGTAATGCGGGGAGCAACAGAGGAGGAGAGGGGAGGGGAGGGCATAGAGAGTATTTTAGATTGGCCTTGAGACCATACGGCGTGGTGTGGTGATTGATGGAGGAGCACAGGTGCAGGGCAGGGCGGGGCACGGCAGGGCAGGGCAGGGCTGGTGGCATGAGGAGACACATGAGAAGAAACCGATTCTCAAGGCGCCTCAAGAAGCACAGCATACAGAGAATGTGGACGCATACAGATGACGGGAAGAAGAGGGGGTGAGTGGGGAGGGGTGGGGGTGTGGTGAACGGCGGGGAGGGGGGAGAGTGGGATTGCGACGGGGATTGATTGAAGAGGATCAAAAAAAGAGGGAGGAAGGAAGGAGCGGGCGGGGGAGTGTGGGGGTTCAGCTGGCACACTGGTGCTACCAGGATCGTATGAGTGCTGCATTGCTCTACTACTGCCACGCCACTGCCTCGGCCCTCCGCCCCAGCCTTCGCTCCGCCCCACCCCTCTCTCCGCCCACCCCTCTCTCCGCCCCACCCCTCTCTCCGCCCCACCCCTCTCTCCGCCCCACCCCTCTCTCCGCCCCACCCCTCACTCCGCCCCACCCCTCTCTCCGCCCCACCCCTCTCTCCGCCCCACCCCTCTCTCCGCCCCACCCCTCTCTCCGCCCCACCCCTCTCTCCGCCCCACCCCTCTCTCCGCCCCAACCCTCTCTCCGCCCCACCCCTCTCTCCGCCCCTCCCCTCTCTCCGCCCTATCCCACCCTCCGCCCCACCACTCCCTTCCCCCCCCCCCACGGCTCACTTGGCGCATTGGTGCTTCATGATGGACCCAAACACGTTCCGCGTGCCGTCCAGCGCCGCCGCCACGATGGTCTGCGGGTCGCTCTTACTGGTCGTCATCAGCGCTGCCACGTGGCACACCAGCTCGCACCCCTCCACCGCCTCGTCAAAGCTCCCAGGGGCCGTTAGATCCGCCGCGAACAGCTGGATTGTGCCCGGCGTGCCGTCCGCCTGTGGTTTGCGGGAGAAGAACAAAAGAAGGAAGAACGATAAAAAGGTGAATCGAAGGAGAATGATTGATTCTCGGAACTAAAACATCCGCGCTGCCACGTGGAACAGAATCTCGCACCCCTCCACTGCTTCGTCGAAGCTTCCAACGGTAGCTGGGTCTGCTGCGAGGGACCGAATCGTACCTGGAGTGCTCTCAGCCTACCACGTAAATGAAGTTCAATCTCAGCCGTCCACCAGCCATGCTTCCCCGCAATCCCCCCCTTTCTTCCCTTCTCACCCGTTACTCCCCCCTCCCCCCCAGCCATTCCCCATAACTCCCAACATCCCCCTACATTCCCAATTCGTCTCCACGCATGCCCAGGGAACGAACACCAGGTAACAAAAACGAAGAAAAGATGTAACAATCTGTGTTGCCGGTGTCCAGGACGAGGGGTGCCTATGTATCATCGTGCGGAAAAGAGCTGCAGGTACTGTATAACAAAGAAGCGGGAGTTCTTGCAGCGACTCCGTCGATCGCGCTTGGACATCGAATCCGAGTCCAATGCAAACGTCAACTTCTAACAACAACCTTTCGTTGCCGTACAGTAATCGGGAAAAAAAAAAACGCTATCAGGCGTTCGACATTCGGAAACAACATGATTTGGAATTGTCGAGAGCCTTACGAGGCCGCGCAGCCAGTTTGTTCGCGGGTCGTCGAGGTCTCTGAGGGTGCCGCGCACGTGGTAGCCACGCTCCAGCAACATCTTCACCACGTAGCTGCCGACGAAGCCTGGCGCGGCGAGGAGGAAATGGAAGGAAACAAGCGACATTGAACAAGAGTAAAACCATTGAACACACGTACGAAATCCAGGTCGAATTATATGCCAATGACTGGCCAAACGAAGGATGCTTCATAGAGGAGGACCGGGAATGTCGGGAAAGTCAACGCGAGAGATTGAGAGCGAAAATTACCCGCCGCTCCTGTGACGCAAACTTTCTTCCCCTGCCCTGGTAGCTCGTCTCCTCCCATCGCTGCCGACGGTTACGTTCGAGTTGCACGGGGTTGGTCTTTGGTGACGAGCTAATGCCTCCACAAATAGCGCGCTATAGGCTATCTGGAATAAAATAACCTGGAATGCGGTGCGCGGCGCGACGGCGAATTCGGTTGGTCGTGAGTTCGCACGTGAAGAAGTCGTAGCGTAATACTAATGTACCGTAATCTAGGGTCGCGACAGCTGTGAAATAAAGAACATGCGCGCGGAGCGGGGATGGGGTGAAATAAAAGAAGCAACTTGGGGCAAGCTTTCGGTTAGATGTTCAGGCGATGGAGAGATTCGAGAAAAGGCAGAAACGGGATGAAAGGGAGGTGGAGGGGAGGAAATGAGAGGGTGAGAAGGGAATTGATGGCTGGAAATGCAGCAGGCCGAGATTTCGGGAAGTTATCTCCACGCTGTACGCTTTATATGAGACGGGAGTCACGGAGCCGAAGGGTATCTCACTGTGTTTTTACATTGATATGCAAACTTATTGTTCAGCTGCATAACAGCTACCAGACTAGATCGTCAATTCCAGACAATAGTTGCTAATCAATTTGAGAACAGAAGTTATAGCTAATTAATTAAACAACAAGCATCACAAAGCCAAGTGATGTACAAATTATTTGCACTTGCGTGCTCCACACTTCAATCGAGCTGTCAAATGTTATTATAGGTTCTTAGGCTACTGTGAGTAGCACTCTAGGGAGGAGTACAACACTTTTAGGGTTGCTATTTGTATCCCTTGCTTCTCCAGTTCAATCATTCAGTTGCATTCTATTTCTGAGATGGTATCACGAGTATGTTTAGAATCCTTGCCTAGCCTAGCCTAGCTCGCGCCCTCGAGCCCTCCGCGCCTTACGCGCCCTCCGTCACGCGCCCTAGCGGCCTCCGCGCCCTAGCGCCCTCCGTCACGCGCCCTAGCGCCCTCCGCGCCTTACGCGCCCTCCGTCACGCGCCCTAGCGCGCCTCCGCGCCCTAGCGCCCTCCGTCACGCGCCCTAGCGCCCTCCGTCACGCGCCCTAGCGCCCTCCGCGCCTTAGCGCCCTCCGTCACGCGCCCTAGTGCCCTTCGCGCCTTACGCGCCCTCCGTCACGCGCCCAAGCGCCCTCCGCGCCCTAGCGCCCTCCGTATCGCGCCCTCCGCGCCCTCCGTAACGCGCCCTCCGCGCCTCCGCGCCTAGCCCTCCACTACGCGCCCTCCACCCCCTCCGTATCGCGCCTCCGCCCTAGCCAGTCGCGTAGCCCGTGCGTCCTACCCTAGCCCGTCGCGTAGCCCGTGCGCCCTGCCCCAGCCCGTCGCGTAGCCCGTGCGCCTTGCCCCAGCCCGTCACGTAGCCCGTGCGCCCTACCCTAGCCCGTCGCGTAGCCCGTGCGCCCTGCCCCAGCCCGTCGCGGCGCCCGTGCGCCCTGCCTCAGCCCGTAGCGTCGCCCATGCAGAGCAACGCACGCCCCTGCAGTGCAGCGCGCGCCCACGTACAAGGCAGCGCGCGCCCTAGCAGAGCAGCGCGTGCCACCCGGGCATTGCAGCGCGCGCCCCAGCACCTCACATACCTTCCTAGCCGCCCACACCTCTTCCTAACCGCCCACACCTCCTCCTAGCCGCCCACACCTTCTCCTAGCCACCCACACCTCCTCTAGCCGCCCACAACTCCTCCTAGCCGCCCACACCTCCTCCTAGCCGCCCACACCTCCTCCTAGCCGCCCACACCTCCTCCTAGCCGCCCACACCTCCTCCCAGCCGCCCACACCTCCTCCTAGCCGCCCACACCTTCTTTGAGCCGCCCACTGGCACCTCTCGCAGCGGCTGGCACCTCTAGCGCGCCACGGCCCGTAGCAGGCCGTTCTCGGGTTTTCTCACCGTCGGTTTTCCCGTTCCCTACCGTTCCTTCACTGGGTTCACCGTTCCGCCGCGGCTGGAAGCCGCTACTCCTCGCCTAGTTTCACATGGCGCTCCTAGTTGTTCTCGCTCCTCGCTCCAGCCGCTCCTCGAGCCCGTAGTTTCTAGCCTGCCGTTTCTAGCTCCGGCCGTGTCTCACTCCAGCCGTTCCTGCTCCAGTCGCTTCTAGCTCAGTTTGCTCCGTGCTCCGGCCGTTCCTCGCCTAGTTTCACCATGGCGTCCACTAGAGTTCTCCAGCAGCAGGGACAGCAGCAGCGGCATTTTCAGCAGTGGGAACCTCAGCAGCAGTGGCGCCCTCAGCGGCAGTGGCACCCTCAGTAGCAGTGGCGCCCTTAGCAGTAGTGGCGCCCTCAGCAGCAGTGGCGCCCTCAGCAGCCGTGGGGGCCTGGTGGTTCGGGTAGCCTTGGCTACAGCAGCGGCCCAGCCAGCTGGGGGGCTCGTCGCGGTGGTCGCGACGTCGGCCCCTACAAGTACCGGATCCTGACTGGCCCTGGTGCTGGCACTACCTGCTGGCGTACTGACCACTCTGCACACCGCTGCTACAGTCGCCTCGACGACCTTTACCGTGAGCGTTTTGGGTCTGAGTCGAGGCCACCGATCTAGAGGTTACCCTGTGTTTGATATGTCTATGGATGCTGTTTATTCTGTCACGTATGGGTCTCTTGGCTTGCGTGTACCCAGCTTAGGCTCTTTGCCTGTTGCTAGTGTAGGTACTTGTGCTTTTAGTGTAGGTGCTTGTGTAGTCACTAGTCCAGCCGTGACGACTGCTGTCGCGTCGCTCTCCTTCACGCTGGACTCAGGCGCGTCGCAGTGCTTCTTCCGCGACCACACCACTATCACACCTCTTTCGGCTCCAAGTCCCAGTTGCCCTGGCTGATCCTAGTTCAGGACCAGCAGTCGCTCGCAGCTCGACCACTCTCCCGTGCCCGGCTGTCCCTTCTGGTCTCTACATCCCCTCGTTCTCTCGGAACTTGGTGGGTGTTGGATACCTTCAGGACCGTGGGATCACAGTCACTTTTCCTGCGCACGGGAGGACGGCGATCTGTACTGACGCTTCCATCGGGGCACTTCTTGCCACGTTCACCAGCGAGCCCCACCCAGGTCTCTTTCTTCTGCACACTACGTCCTCCCAGGTAGCAGAGTCCGGTCAGGTGACTGCGCCCCCCCAGGTAGCAGGGTCCGGTCAGGTTACTGCGTCCCCTCCGGTTGCTGTGTCTAGTCAGGTTGCTGCTTCTGGTCAGGTTGCTGCGTCTTGCTCCTGTCGGTCTCTCGCCCACCCGACCATCTTGTGGCACCACCGTCTTGGCCACCCGTCGATCCCCCGACTCTGCAAGATGGCTAGTCACAGTCTTGTCTCAGGTCTCTCGCGCGTCTTTTCGTCGCTCCCTCCCTCGCTTGCTCCACCTTGCACTCCTTGCGTCGCCGGCCGCCTGCGCGCCACTCCGCACTCCTCCTCCCTTCGTCCGGCCACTGCTCCCTTCCAGACTCTCCATTTGGACGTCTGGGGCCCTGCCCCCACGCTGGGACCTGAGAGGGAGCGCTACTTTCTGGTGGTCGTTGACGACTACTCCAGGTACACCACGGTGTTTCCTCTCGCGAAGAAGTCCGAGGTAACTTCTACGCTGATCCGGTGGCTTCTGGCCACTGAGGGCACTCGTGGTAGTCGTGTCCGTTGTCTCCACTCCGACCGTGGGGGTGAGTTTCGCTCCGGCGTCCTTGCCGGGTTCTGCGGCGAGCAGGGCATCAGACAGTCCTGGACACTGCCGGAGACCCCACAGCAGAATGGGGTTGCTGAGCGCCGCATTGGCTTGGTCATGGACATTACCCGCACGTCCATGATCCATGCCCGTGCGCCCCATTTTCTGTGGCCCTACGCGCTTCGCTACGCCGCGCACCAGCTGAACCTCCAGCCACATGTCTCACGGCCAGAGGTTTCACCGACCCGTCTTTGGACCGGGTCCCCTGGTGTTGGGTCGGCCTTTCGTGTCTGGGGCTGACTTGCGCTTGTCCGCGACACCTCTGCGGACAATCTCTCGGCTCGCGCCATCCCCTGTGACTTCCTTGGTTTCCCGGTGGGTTCTCCCGACTACTCCATTTACCACCCGCCCCTCCACCTGTTTCTCGACTCTCGTGACGTCCGGTTTGACGAGTCCGTGTCCTACTACACCCGGTACCCCTGTCGAGGTCTCCCGGTTCCCCCTCCCCCCCTCTTCCTCGCACCCTCTCCTCCCCCTGCTCCCGCTTCTCTGGTACCCCCGCCCCCCCCTGGTCCTGCCCCGTCAGGTGTGTCTCACGCTACCCCTCTACCATCGATCGTGCGTCCGGTAGCGTCTCCCTCCCCGCAGTCCTCCTCACAGTCCCCTCAGCAGCCTTCGGCACTTCCGCGACAGGTTACTATGGACTCAGGAGGTGTTGGAGCTGGAGGTGCAGGCACTGGCGGTGCGCGGTCTGGTGGCGCTCGTTCGAGAGGTGCTGGAGCTGGAGGTACTGGCACTGGAGGTGCCAGTTCTGGGGGTGCTGGAGCTGGAGGTACTGGCACTGGAGGTGCTAGTTCCGGGGGTGCTGGAGCTGGAGGTACTGGCACTAGAGGTGCTAGTTCTGGGGGTGCTGGAGCAGGAGGTGCTAGCGCTGTAGGAGCTGGTACTGAGGAAACGGGAGCTGGATGCTCGCCAACTGCGTCGCCCACTGCGCCTCCCCACCGCCATGACACCCGTTTCCAGGCCCTTCGCCGGCTTGAGCGCGAGGAGCAGGAGCAGTTGGAGCAGGTGAGGCAGGAGTTGCAGCGGTTGGACCAGCAGCAGCAGCAGCAGCAGCCGTCACTTTTGCAGCAGCTGTTCCCTCCTGTGAGTGGCCTTCGGGCCCTTGGTCTTCCTTCCTCTCCTCATGTTCACTCACAGTCTCCTACCGCGTACAGTCCTGCGTTTCCTCCTCCGGACTCGACTCTAGCTGTTTTCTCTCCTCCTCATTCACAGTCGCCTCCTCCTGTTGTCTGGCACGACTGGACGAGTCGTTGTCCTCCACGTGCTCGGCCCTCGTCTCCTCTTGCCGACCTTCGCACTGTCTTGTTTCGTTCTCTTCCTCGTCGTTCTCCGCCTGTGTCTGTTCTCCCCTCACCTCCTGCGTCGTCTCTCACCGTTTCCTCTCACCCTATCACTGACTACTACCGTGATGCTCCCCCTGTTGTCTCTCGTGTTCTCGCTTCTCTTGTCACGGACCCTCGTGCCTCTCCGTCGTCTGTCTCGGCTCTTACTGCCGCTATCGCTGACTTTGCTTCCACCCGCCGTCTTGACTACGCCACGTGTGTGGTGGCTGCTCCACCTCCCCATCCTCTGTCCGTCGGGGGTGAGTCTGCCCTTGGCTGTGACGTCCTAGAGGACAGGCAGTTTGAGCTGGAGTTCTTAGCAGCCGCTTCCCCCTCTCTCTGCGCCATGCTGCTTTCCCTTGAGGGAGACCCCGACGCCCTTGACATACCGACACCTCGCACGTGCCGTGAGGCCGTGTCAGGGGAGTGGGCCTCTCAGTGGAAAGCGGCTATGGACGCGGAGTTAGCGTCTTGGAAATCCACAGGCACTTACGTCGACGCAATTCCCCCTCCTAGGGCGAACGTTGCCGATGGCATGTGGCTCTTCAAGGTGAAGCGGCCGCCTGGTTCACCGCCTGTGTTCAAGGCGCGCTACGTGGCTAGGGGTTTCAGTCAGCGTGAGGGAGTTGACTTCTTTCAGACCTTCGCCCCGACCCCGAAGATGACTACTCTTCGGGTGTTACTACACGTAGCAGCACAGCGAGACTACGAGCTGCACTCCCTCGACTTCTCCACTGCGTTTCTCCAGGGCCGGCTATACGAGGCGATCTGGCTACGCTGTCCACCTGGTTCACTGACACCTTCCCACCTGGGACCCAGTGGAGTCTGAGGCGGCCAGTCTACGGTCTCCGCCATTCGCCCCGTGAGTGGCACGACACTCTTCGCTCCATGCTTCGTGACCTTGGGTTTCGTCCTTCCTCTGCCGACCAGTCGCTGTTTGTTCGCGCCGGTTCCACTCCTTTCTTTATACTGGTTTACGTCGACGACTTGGTCTTTGCTACAGCAGACAGAGCAGCTCTGGCTGAGGTGAAGTCCGAACTTCAGAAGAGACATAAGTGCACTGACCTTGGTGAACTCCAGCGCTACCTTGGCCTGCAGATCACCCGGGACAGAGCCGCTCGCACCATCACACAGACTCAGTCACACATGGTGCAGCAGGTCCTTCAACGGTTCGGGTTTCAGTTCTCCACCACATAGCCCACTCCTCTTGTCGTTGACCACCGACTCACTGGCCCTTTTCCCGACGAGCCCTTTGAGTCTAGTGGTCCCTACGTAGAGCTTGTGGGCTGCCTCATGTACCTGATGACTTGTACTCGGCCAGACCTCGCCTTTCCCCTCAGCGTCCTCTCTCGCTTTGTTGCGACTGGGAGACACCGTCCTTTTCACTGGATAGCTGCTGTGAGGGTGGCGAAGTACTTGGCGACTAAATCAGGCATGGGGCTTGTGCTTGGAGGGACACAGCCAGTTGTGTTGACCGGTCACTGCGGCTCTTCCTACGCTGACGACGTTGAGACTCAACGCTCGACTCAGGGTTACTGCTTCAGTCTGGGTGCTGGTGCTGTGTCGTGGAGGTCTACACGGTCGTCGTCTGTGGCTTCGTCCAGTGCAGAGGCAAAGATCTACGCTGGTGCCATGGCGGCACAGGAGCTTCGCTGGTTGACCTTCTTGCTTGCCGACCTTGGTGAGCGGCCTCGCTCTGCACCGACCTTGTACGCTGACAACAAGGCCATGATCCTCATGAGTCGAGACCCTCGACTGGAGAGCAGAGTGAAGCATATTGACGTGAGGTACTTCCTCCTGCGAGAGTTGCAGCGACGCGGCCAGGCACGCTTGGACTTTGTGGCCTCAGAGGCCAACACTGCCGACGTCTTCACCAAGGCCTTGGCGCCTGGTGACCACCACAGGTTCTGTGTGCAGTTGGGGCTTGTTGATGTTGGCCCTCGGTTGCTGTAGACTTGTTGTTTGCTCTGCTTGTTGTGCTTTGCTCTATATATCCTAGTGAACTCTTGAACTGGCATTGTGGCCGCTTGCTTGTGTTCGGAATTTGTGTGGTGTCCTTGAGATCCACCCTGAGCTTGCTTTGCTTCTTGCATTGACTGGTCTTGCGACCGTTTGTTCACCCTGCTTGCTTTGATGCCCCTCACTTAGCCTATGGGGGTGTGTCAAATGTTATTATAGGTTCTTAGGCTACAGTGAGTAGCACTCTAGGGAGTACAACACTTTTAGGGTTGCTATTTGTATCCCTTGCTTCCCTAGTTCAATCATTCCGTTGCATTCTATTTCTGAGACAAGCCTCCATACGAGCAGGACCCTCAGACCCCTCCCCTGTACCACCCTCCCCTCCTTCCCCTCCCCCTGGCTTCTCCTCCTCCACATCCTCCACCTCTACCTCCTCCACCACCTCTACCTCATCCTTCACAGCCCCTCCCTGCCCACCCTCCTCCTTATCCATCCTATCTATATGCTCCTGAACCTGCACATCAGTCAGAATGCTAAACGCTTGCCCCTCACCCACATTAGAAACAGTGCAGTTGGCTCCACTCAGCTCCCCCTCCTGCAGCGACTCCTTCACAGCCAGCAGCGCGTGTCGCACCAACTCGTCGAGCGAACACGCCCCGAACGACTCAAACTTGCGCTCCAGGTACGTCTTGGCGGCCTGCGAACGCGCCCCGATCGCCATGGCGTGGATCCCAGAAGTTGCCCGACGGGCAGGTTTGAAAGATGTGCGGGCCGGTCTGGTCGAAGCCGGCCAATAGCAGCCCCATGCCGTACGGGCGGCGCCACGAGCGCTGCGTGCACACCTGAGATTTGTCTGCTACCATAGAGTCAAGGCGACCCACCGGGAGAGGCGACTCAAAGTCAAACCTGAAACGGGATGGGAGATGTGGAGAGGGTAGTGGATGACAGGGCAGATGCAGACATGGGGATAGGCGCGAGGAGGAGAAGGTGGGCGGGAGAAAAGGGTGGAAGAGGAGAAGTGGGGAGAAAAAAAAAGGGGAGGAGAGGGCGCAGGTGCGACGGTTATAAAGAGGTTTGTGGAACAGCACTGGTAGGATATGCAAAGGGAATATGAACGCAAGAGGACAATGGGCAAAGGAGCGCAGGCGAGGGAAGGGCTGGTTCGAAAAAGGAGAGGTGGAAGCAGAGGGAGGGGATTATGGGAGTAAGAACGATAAGTGCTCCCACGAAGAGAGGTGTGGCGCAATCACGTATGCGAGAGGCACTCCGAGCGCATGAAGCGACAGAGCACGCGGCCGTCAGCATTGAGCCCAGCGATGGCGATCCCCATGTGGTCGTCCACTCAGAATATCTTGCGCTGGTACGACGTCAGAAGGGAGAGGTGCGGCACACTCACTGCCCTCACTTCACTGACAGCACTCACTTGTGAGACAAGCATTCGGAGCGCATGAAGCGGCAGAGCACGCGGCCATCAGCATTGAGCCCAGCGATGGCGATGCCCATGTGGTCGTCCACGCGGAATATCTTGCGCTGGTACGACGCCAGGGGGGACGCCGCTCGCTTGAGCGTCGCCAGCACCGCGTGGGTGGTGCTGTGCAGGCCCACCGCCGCACTGCCCTGCTTCATTACTTCTATTGTGTACCCCACCTACCAGGCAAAGGCGAGAGGGGTGTGAGAGGAGGAATGTGAGGGGTTAAGGAGGTTAGGCAGGCGTGCAGGCATAGCGCTTGAACGTGGCGAGCACTGTGCATGGTGCTGCGCAAACTCACTGCTGCACTGCCCTGCTTCACTGCTTCCATTGCATACTCCACCTGATGTGATTGGGTAAGGTGGAAAGGAAGGTGGAGGGGTAAGGAGGGGTAAGGTGGGGAGAAGTGAGGTTAGGCAGGAGTGTAGGCATATCTTGCTTGAGCGTGGCCAACATGGTGTGTATGGTGCTGCGCGGGCCCACCGCTGCATTGCCCTTCTTCACCGCCTCCATGGCGTACTCTACCTGATGGGAGGAGTGGGGAGGGGAGGGGGGCGGGGGCGGAGGGGAGCGGAGGGGGAGGACTGGAAAAGAGTCGAGAGCACCTCGTGGGTGGTGCTGCGCAGGCCGACTACCGCACTGCCCTGCTTCACCGCCTCCATTGCATACTCCACCTGGTGGGATGGGGTAAGGTGGAAAGGAAGGGGGAGGGGTAAGGAGGGGTAAGGTGGGGAGAGGGCATGTGCATGGGTAAGGTGGTAAGGTAAGGAGACCCACCGCTACACTGCCCTGCTTCACCTCCTGCATGGCATACTCCACCTGGTGGGATGGGAGGGAGGGGAGAGCGCATGAGGAGGGAGGAGAGCATGAGGGAGGAGATTAGCAACGAGGTGCACATGTCTTGTGTGTGCTGCACTGCCGTGCTTCACAGCCTGCAAGGCGTACTCCACCTGGTGGGGAGGAGGGGGGAAGTAGAGCAGAGCGCACACGTGGGGAAGGGCAGGGGATGGAGTGGGGAGAATTGGGGAACACGTCGTGCGTGGTGCTGCGCAGACCCACCGCTGCACTGCCTTGCTTCACTGCCTCCATGGCGTACCCTACCTGGTGCCATGCGCGGAGGAGCGGCGGGGGAGACGGCATGAGGGGGGTTAGCAGCGAGCCAGGCACGCCTTGCCTGTGTTGCACTGCCCTGCTTCACCGCCTGCATGGCGTACTCCAGCTGGTGGCATGCGCGGGGAGAGACAGGCATGGCAAGGGAGCACGGAAGGGAGGAAAGGCTAAGGGATGGAGTGGAAGAGAGTGGCGAGCAGAGCACGTGGCGGTGTGCACACTCCCCTGCTTCACCGCCTCCATGGCACACTCCACCTGATGGGGGTGGGGAGGGGAATGTTTGGAGGGGAAGGCCAGAAGGTTTGGTTAGAAATCAGGCAGGTTGCGCTGCTGTGTGCTGGCCGACCGCCGCGCTACCCTGCTACAACCGTTTCCTGCGTTGCCCTGCTCAAGTGACCCTTGCTCTTAGACTGTGTGATGTTTTCAACAGGACTATCTGCACCTATACTATGGGGGTGTGTCAAACTATGATTGTTATAGTTTGTGTTTGATAGTCTAGGTGGTGTATATTTGTGTTTAGCGCTGACTAGGGCTGGCTAGGGTTTGCTATATCAGCCCGTATATGTAATTGTTCAGCTCATTCATTATTCAGTTACCATGTTAACAACTATGCCACTACATCACAGTCCGCAACTACTCACATAATGACGCTGAAGTGGTGGCCATCAAGCCGGGGTTACGGGGTGGTGCCGGAAGAGAGTATTTTGCGAGTGATTCATGTTGTGCCCAAAACAGCACATTTTGAATGGTAGTGTGTCTGAGTACTGCACTCTCTAAATAGAATAGTTTGTACATATACATTTGTTTAGCAATTGTAAATATTTTTTAGTGGATTGCAAAGTATATGAAAGAAGAGAAAGAAATAATCAGTTAAAGTTGCATCTGTGAAACGCGTCACTGTAACCAACTATAGAACTACAAGAGTACAATTATCCGAGCCCAGAATAACGAATAAAGTGTGTCCACGCGACTTTCTAGAAACGTTGAAAATTTCCGTTGCTGCATTCTGTTGGGGGCACGGGCGACAGCTCATCCGATGATCCAGCTTGAACAATGGGGCTGATTTTTTCCCTTCAACTGGGCGACAACAGCTTGAATGGTCCTTGTCTTGTGCGTCTGGTTTTTTTCCAGAAGTCAAGAACAGTGCACTCCATGTATGCTTTCCGGTCTATTTTTTTTTCCCCGTTGGTGTGTAGCTTCTCCCTTCGACAATCAGTTAAGTATCTACTGTATCTCTCCGAGCGTGAAGAAATCACTTTGCATCGGTGCAAACGATGGGATTGCGGGCACATCGGTGCAAACGATGGGATTGCAGGCATGAATATCTGAGTGTGGCAGTGCACAATTCAAACCAAACAAAATAACGTATGAGAAACTACATTGCCGCTGTTTCGAATGGGGAGAAACACTGCTAACCTCGATTCTTCTTGCACAGCTGTCGCAACACCAAAAGTGCTCCAGTGGGGCATCACCAATCCAACTTGCTTCCGCTCTGCGTTGATGTGGGCTTTGAGGCAGCCACGCGTGGTCTTCTGTAGAGTTTCCACTGTAATTTTTGCCCAATACGGGCGACTGTCCGTATGCGCAACTCTCTGGATAGGTGACTGGTTGAGTGTGGTCGTGTACACCTCAACAGACCAAAAAACAATCGCATGTAACTGATATTTTCACTGTTTCAACCGCGACAAACACAGCAGGCCAAATTACAGTTGTCGTTAAACTGTGAGCATTCCAGCGGGGCATGGTTCCAGCACTTCATCTCCTCCGCGTCGTTGCGCGCTTCGGGGCAGTCACGAACCCACACTCCCCCTTGCTACCCTCCTCTCCCTCTGAGTCACCCATCCATCTTCCCCTTGGACAATTTCTTCCCTCTCCCCCTTTTCCCTCTCACCTCCCATGCCGTAATCGCTGCTGCTCGAGCGTCGTGTCTGAAATTTAGAATTTCAAATTTCGAGTTTTGAACTTTCCTTCCTACGCCTTGGCCGACCTTTCCCACTATCGCGCCATGCCGAGCCTGCATTTTCACGCCCCACTGTTTGTGGTTCAGTAGCGTGTACTTCGTTCGGATGACGGTGCGCTTCTTCCTCCGATATTACCCTTTGTTTGTATGCTGTCGAGCCGCTTCCTTTATCCTTCATTATTATCATTATACGGGAGTCTATAATTATGCTTTCGTTGCGTATCGCTCGCTACATGCTTTTGTAGCTTTATAATTTTGCTCACGAACTATGATGCGCGGCAATCCTAAAGGGTTAGTCCCACCCTCCATGATGCATCTGCAGACTAGGCAAATGCCCTCTCGCGCCAGCAAGGACAATCACAAGTTCATATTGAGCAACGGCGACACAGGTACGTAGTGTATGTTTTCTCCGGATGCACAGTTCTCTCCCTTTGTATAGGATTATCCAGTGATTTTTTTTTTCTACATTGCGGGTGCAGCGACGATGCAACCGACACCGCTCCGTCCGACCGCCGAACTACCGGACCATGGAAACCGATAGCTCGGCGGAGCTTGAAGGGCGTGTAACAACCTGCAACCCCTGGTATGGGGGGAAAGAGTTATGCGCCACAGTCGGCGGCAAAAACCGCCCAGGCTTCTGTCAGAGTTATATGACATAGCTACTGTAGGCTATAGTGGGGTAGCACATATGGGGTACAGTTGCCTAGGGTTTGCCTTTTTGTACCCAACTTTCACTTAGTCATTTCATTCCTGTTTTCTTGATTCACATGGTATAGAGCGGGTTCCTACATGGGACCGTTCCTTCCTAAGGGCCCACCATAAGAATTTTTTTTTTAGCTGCCCGCGCACATTGCGCCCTGCCCTAAATTTTTTTTTTTAGCGGCCCCTACGCTGCCCCTACGCGGCCCCTACGCCGCCTCCCACGCGCCCCCTATGCGGCCCCTGGCGACGCCCTGACGAGGCCCCTGCCGGCGCCCTATCGCGGCCCCTGATGCGCCCCCTGGTGGCGCCCTGACGCGGCCCTGACGCGGCCTGACGCGGCCCCTGGCGGCGCCCTGACGCGGCCCCTGCCGCGGCCCTGACGCGGCCCTGCCGCGGCCCCTGACGCGGCCCTGACGCGGCCTGCCACGGCCCCTGCCGCGGCCCTGAAGCGGCCCCTGACGCGGCCCTGACGCGGCTCTGCCGCGGCCCTGACGCGGCCCTGACGCGGCCCTGCCGCGGCCCCTGGCGGCGCCCTGACGCGGCCCCTGACGCGGCGCCCTGACGCGGCCCCTGCCGCGGCCCTGACGCGGCCCTGCCGCGGCCCCTGACGCGGCCCTGATGCGGCCTGCTGCGGCCCCTGCCGCGGCCCTGAAGCGGCCCCTGACGCGGCCCTGACGCGGCTCTGCCGCGGCCCTGACGCGGCCCTGACGCGGCCCCTGACGCGGCCCCTGCCGCGGCCCCTTACGCGGCCCTGACGCGGCCCTGCCGCGGCCCCTGGCGGCGCCCTGACGCGGCCCCTGACGCGGCGCCCTGACGCGGCCCTGCCGCGGCCCCTGACGCGGCCCCTGCCGCGGCCCCTGACGCGGCCCCTGACGCGGCCCCTGTCGCGGCCCCTGACGCGGCCCCACCACCTACCTTTCCGGCCACGCCGCCTCCTCTCAGCGGCCCCGCCGCCTCCTCCCAGTGGCCCCGGACGCCGCCCTCTCAGCGGCCCCGCCGAGCCGCCCAGCAGCCTAGCCGCCCAGCAGCCGAGCCGCCGAGCCGCCCAGCAGCCGAGCCGCCCAGCAGCAGAGCCGCCGAGCCGCCCAGCAGCCGAGCCGCTGAGCCGCCCAGCCGCCGAGCCGCCCAGCAGCCGAGCCGCCCAGCAGCCGAGTCGCCGAGCCGCCCTGCAGCCGAGCCGCCCGAGCCGCCCTGTCCAGTAAGAGCAGCGCCTCTCTCACAGCACTGCCCTCACCCCACTGTTTGCGCTGCTAGTCTACTGCTGTCATGGCTACCCCTAGTGTCCTCGCTTTTGACGCTGAGGGTCGGGCCATTGACTTTGACGTCTGGATAGATGACCTGCAGCTTTTCTTACAGTGCGATAGGGCAGACGGCCTCTCCCTCTTTGACCTCACTTCTGGTGCCTCTCCTGCCCCCGCCACTGATGCTGACGCAACTGTTCGCTCCCAGTGGGCCACGCGCGATGCTGCTGCACGTCTTGCTGTGCGTCGCCACCTGCCTACCTCTGAGCGTGCGCACTTTAGCCAGTACAAGAGTGCTCAGACCTTGTACGACGCTGTAGTTGCACGCTACTCCTCCCCTGCCACTGCTGCACTGAGTCGCCTCATGCTACCGTACCTCTTCCCTGACCTTGCTGCCTTTCCCACAGTCGCTGACCTCATTACGCACCTACGCACTAGTGACACTCGCTACCGCGCTGCGCTTCCTGCTGAGTTCTGCGCCAAGAACCCCCCCCCCATGTACATCACCCTCTACTACATAGTCACCCGGCTCCCTGACTCCCTTCGCGTAGTCAGGGACCACTTCCTCTCAGTTTGCCCCACCACTCTCACCGTTGACCTCCTCGAGAAGTCCCTCCTAGCAGCAGAGAAGAGCATAGTAGCTGTAGGAGCCTCTCGTGGTGACCCTCGCACCCCCATCTTTGAGGGGTGTTCCCCCTCCCCCCTTTTGCCCTCTGTTGCCTCTGCTGCTGCGGCCGACCTCGTTGGGCTTGAGTCGGTCGGTGCGGCGTCTACCCCTAGCGGGAGACGCCGCCCTGGCAAGGGCAAGGGGGGCAGGGGCGCTGGAGGAGCTAGCGGGGGCGGTGGAGGCAGCGGTGGAGGCGGTGGAGGAGGTGGGGGTGGCGGTGGGGGTGGTGGCGGGGGTGGAGGTGTCGGTGGCGGCAGTGGAGGCGGAGGCGGCAGCGGCAGTGGCGGAGGGAGCGGAGGTGGCGGCGGTGGAGGAGGAGGCGGCGGAGGAGGTGGAGCTGGTCGGGGTGGCGCTGCGCAGAGGGTCGGCTCCGGTGGTGGTCAGCGCCAGCAGCAGCAGCAGCAGCACCAGCAGCGCACTCGTGACATCCCCTCCCCTCAGCAGCTCCGTGAGTGGTACACTGCACGCCAGAGGGGTGGGGGTACTGGTCCGTGCACCTACGTCCTCCGCACCGGCGACCGCGCGGGTGAGCAGTGCGGGGGTACGCACTCCACCCAGCGCTGCTTTGGCCGCCTGACGGACGCTTGGCGTCACCAGTTCCCTGAGGCCACTGAGATCCCCCGCTGGGGTGAGCTGTCTAGGGCGGGTGTGGCTGTCTTTGACCTTGACTTTGATGCTATTCTTGCTGCCATGTATACTGTGACTATTAGTGATGAGGGTGACTGTTACCGGTGTTTTCCGCCCGACCCGGGCATTGAGACTGCTGCTCTAGGTACTGGTGAGGCTGCTGCTCTAGGTGCTAGCGAGGCTGCTGCTCTAGGTGCGTCTGCTCCCTCAGGTGCTGGTGAGTCTGCTCTCTCAGGTTCTGCGTCGGCTTCGGCCTCCCACACCTTCACCCTTGACTCGGGGGCTTCTCGCTCCTTCTTTCGAGACCGCACCACACTCACGCCGCTTAGCCGGCCAGTTGCAGTCTCTCTGGCAGACCCCTCTGGGGGTCCTGTCCTTGCTCACTTCTCCACTGTCCTCCCGTGTCCGGCGGCCCCCTCTGGCACCCTGTCTGGTCTTTACCTTCCCTCGTTCTCTACGAACTTGGTGA